CCTCTCAGGGAACCTGACGGTGTGGAGCATGGCCTGGAGACAACAGGCTGCTCTGGGACCCTGGTCTGGACATTGAGCCCCTCCCTACAGTGATGTTCCCTGCAGCTCTCGTTCCACAGTTAATGGTGGCAGGTGGTGGACTGAGGCCACTCAACCCATTGGCTGTGGAAAGTACCTCTGAAAGCAGTGCCCCATGTTTTCCTTGCAGGTTCCAACTACTGCTGATTCTCAGGCCCAATGTGTCCTTCTACTTAAAATCAATTTTCCTCCTCTCAGTGTTTCTAGTTGATGTTCTGAGTCTCTCCAGTGTAGCTCCTCCTCTGTTCAGCAATGTTGGATCTTTCAGGTTCTACCTTCTCAGTGAATGTTTCCTCGGCATCTATGATGTGACTCTTTCTCTGCTCAGCCATGTGGAGTTCCCTGTGCCAGACTTTTGCCTTGTCCAAGGTCACGTCTGTTATTTGGCTGGCACCTCTGCTGTCCAGGCAGAGGGAAAACAACTCAGAGCCTGCAACAAGTTGGCAGTGGCTGAGTCAAGGGGTGCAAGCCACAGGTGTGCAGCTCAGGCAAATGTTGCGCCAGGACCACAGGTCCAAGTGACCCACACCACTGGCACATTTGAAAAGAGTCCCCTGCTGACTCCCAGGTGCAGTCAGGGTTGAGAACTACAGATCTAGGCCCTCAGAGCTCAAAGGGTTGTCCGTGCGTCTGCAGCACAGCTGCCCCCTGGAACCATTAGAAATAGGAATCTTGTGCCCACCCAGGACTTAGAGAAGAATCCAAATGCCCATTTAAACAATATCTCCTGGTAATTCACGTGCTCAGTAAAGTCAAGCAGTTACCAGAGTACGGAGCAAGTCCTGGTTCTTTATTTATATTATTGTTCCTCTAGAACTTCAAATTCCAAGTGAGAAACTTACTAGGGGCTGCCTTTATCACCTGGTCCTAATTCCATACTACAGAGGGACAGGAAGGCCAAATGAGCCACCCTCATGTCCCAGTGCCTAGTACAAGATGCAGCATAAACAGATATGAGATAAAATATCTCCCAGTTAGAGCAGCGGGAAGCCATCGAATCTCACAGTCCATCCAGCGTGTTTTCCAAGAGCCAGGCCCAGCAACCACACACTGCAATGCCTGCAGCTGGCAGCACTTGGACAACATGTGGTATAAAAGAAGCTTGTGCCAGGTGACTCAGTCTGTTGGGGATCCCCTGGGATCTAGAGCCGTCAGGAAACTCAGGGTTTCTGCTTCTGGGCTCTGTTCCCAGACAGCAGATCTCTGAGCCAAAGCTTTCCAACTACATCAATGGCCCCCAGCCAGCTGACAGCCAGCAGCACATTTGCATCCTAAAAGCACCCTGGGGAACATGTAGGCAGCAGCCAACAGGCCTGGATTGTGCAGCCCCAGAAGCAAAACTGGAAGGAGAAAGCACCCCAACCCCAGGAATAGCGTTGGGCCCTCGCTGTGCCAGCTCAAACCAGGGCCAGCTGTGCTGCTTAGTCAGGCAGAGCCAGTCCCCTGTCTTCACAGGAAAGGGTTGGAGCAGCAGAGGAAGCGGCACCCACTCTCTGGGACCAGAATCTGAGGCCTGTGAAATCAAGGCAAGAAGGCTCCACACCCAGCCGGTGCCCACGCAGCATCCCCAGTCAGAGCAGCAGCGACCATTCACCAGTGTTCACATGCCCAGCAGAACGGACTGTGTAAGGCAGGTTATCATTACCACTGCATGTGACAGGCGACAATAAAGCAGAGACTCAGAGTTCAAAGATTTTGCTCCAGGCCACACTGCAAGTAAGTGGCAAAGGCGGGATCTAAACCCAAGTCCCTTCACATCCACAGCCCTCACTCGCTGTGCGAGGCCACAGGATGCACACACACGCACCACTAAGCTCTAGTCCCCTCCACCCTACCGATGAGAAGACTGAGGCCAGAGGGCACACAGTCGAAGGTCGCTCAGCTGGCTCAAAATAAGCAACCGCCTCGCTCTTCCTAAGGAACAGGAATGATGAGGAAATAATGCAGGAGGAACCAAAACTTCCGGCGTATATCAGATCAATGCAAGTAGGATTAGAAGTGCTAACAAGAACAGCAGCGCCCCACAGCCTAACTACAGCAGAGGCAGCTGCACACATCTGCCACGTGTGCTCACAGGTAACTACTCTGGGTCTTAAACAACTGCCAAGGCCCGGAAGGATGTCTGTGACTACTTCTGCTTCACTAGTCTAGTTAATATGGAGATGCCAAGCTGGCCTCCTTGCTAGCTGCCAGCTAATCTATTTGCCCCACAAGTGCCAACCACACTCCCCAGACTGAAATATTTCTCTCCCTGTCCCCTCTTTCTAATTCTACTTTTGCCTTATTTGACTCCCTTTACTGGCTTGCTTACATGTGATAAAACCATGTGTGAAAAATAAGTTAATGTCTCTAAGTTATTCCTTACAGAGACCCTATGACTTCACTAAAGAATCTGCAGGTGCTTGTGGGAGTCCTTCCCCGTCACATCCAGGAAGGAGGCTCCGGAAGGCCTCTATGTCCCTGCTCCAATAGCCACAGTCATTAGAGTGACCGTCCACACCCTCCACACCTCCACTTCTCCTTCCCTGCTGGCCCAGCTCTCCATGTCTAGCCTAAGATCTCCTGGCCCATCACTCTTCCCTTCTGCCTCCCCTCCCTTTGTTCCAGTCTCAGGAAGCCTCACCCTGGCCAACAGGTATCCTCTATTTTCTTTCCCTGGCACCACATTCAAACTAGTATACATTTCCTCCATCTGGCAGGGTTTTCTGGCCATAAATCCCACAGGAGCAAGACGCCCTCCTCTCTAGAGTCCCCTCTACCATTTTATTTTCACTCTTCCTTTTGGTTTCTACTAAGAAATTAAAATCTCCTGAAGACATGAACCAGGCCTTATCAATTTGACCTGTTAAATATGTTTTCAACACCTGGAATTTTCAGGAAATACAACAAAAAAGCAGAACCTCAAAGAACTAATCATAGAGTAATTCCATGCTGAGGCATAAACCCAGGGGAGCTGCCCACATAAAAACTTGGATGGAGGTGTTCACGGTAACATTCTTCATAATGGCTACAAAGAGAGAAAACCCAAATGTTCATCAGCTGAAAGACAGGTAAACAAAATGGTGTGAATCCACCTGGTGGAATATCACTCAACCATCAAAAAGAATGAAGTACTAATCCATGCTATAGTATAGATGAAGCTTAAGTACTATGTCAATTGGAAGAAGCTAGGAACAAAATGCCACATCCTCTATAATTCCATTTATATGAAAACATCCAAAATAGGCAAATCCATAAAAATAGAACATAAGTTGGTATTTGCCATGGGCTAGTGAATGACTGCTAATGGTGTAGAGCTTCTTTCAGGAAAGATAAAACTAAAATTAGGAAACAATGTGTGGATCATGTCTTGGGTTATACTAAAAAATAACTATATACTTTAAAAGGGTAAATTTTATAACATGTAAATTAGATTTCAGTTTTTTAAACAATTGAAAACAAACAAAACCAAACTTTAGGCTTGGTTGTAAGGTGGGATGTGTCAGACTCCGCCTCTGTGCTCCTGTACTCTGACATGGTTAACGCTCTCTAGACAGACTAGCCCTCGAGCTAGCATTGCCCCTGGAGGATGCCATCCACAGCGCCATCCCCATCCTCCTAGACAGGTGGCATTTCCTGCACATTCTCCTCCAGTTTTCACACCATGCTGCTGCTGAGGTCCAGTATCAAGGGGTTTTTGGGCCACAGGGCTTTCAAGGCCAACCCTGGGAAAGTCCAGGCGAAACTAACCTCTGCCACCCCAGCTCCCAAGGATACCTGAGCAATGGATGTAAGTCTCTGATCTCCAGCCCCAAATCAACACTATCCATGACCACAGCATCTCTATCTTCATCTCCACATTCTACATCTCATTTCAAGGAAACAATTCTGTAGCTAAAAACAGGTTTAACCATCATTATCCAAGTCACTGTTCTCCTTTCCTGATGGTCCTTGTCAGCCAAATCCCAGGAGATTCAGAGACTCAGCTGTTTTCAGTGAGATGAGTCTAATGGGTAAGGAAGAATTTCAGTGTGGGGAAACCAAGCAGGTGCCTCTAGGATGAGTTCCAGGGGTCAGTCATGCTGGTGACTGGGGTGGGGTGGATAGGATAGCTCCTGATTCTGTCCCTGGCCACTGCTGCCCTGGGAAGCAGACGGGTCTCACAGAGGAGAAGGTGGGTCCCACGGACACATCCTCAGTGTAGACTCTTCTGAAACCCAGGTGCCCCCAAGGGATTTCTGCAGCCCCTCCACCCTGGCCTGCATGGTCCTTACAACATGTCACCATTAAACTTTGTCTGAAAGCTTCCCACTACCAACACACTGAGTCTGTGACAAAGATTCCTTGTAAGGGCACATCCAACCCAGAGTCGGAATAAGCCAGTGCCAAAGAATATACCTCTAACCTCAAAGCAACCCTCAACCAAATGAATGGGGCCACAGTAGACAAACAGCTCTGCCTCTCTGCCCACTTGTGCCAGAACTTTGGGGCACACCACCCAGTCCCCCCAGAGGCAAGCAGAACTGCACCCAGCTGGCTGCTGCAGTGTACATCCTATATTGCTTGCTTCCCTGCCTCAATCCCCTACACCCCCTGAAGTAAATCTGCTGACTATTTAAAAAGTAAAAACCACTTATATTAAACTCCAGCAAAAGATCTAATTCTGAAGGGCCAGAAACCAGAAATAGATTCAATGACTTGTTCAACAGAAACTATTTTTTAAAAATAGTGCACAGCGGCTCTGTGGGAAACACCTAGCATGGAGCTCAGGACTGGGTCAGGCCAACACCTGCAATCACAACAACAATACACTGCACTTGGAATTCACACCAATATAACAAAAAGCTGTTCTTAAAAGAAATGAACATATAGCCATTTGCAAAACATAAAAGGCTCCATCAGTGCCTTTCAAACCTATTATTAAATGAATAAAAGCTCCTTACTTATAAAAGGCCTGGTTCTCCACCCCGCACTTCCAGAGATGCTTGCAGGCAGCTGGTGTTGATGTGTGGAATGCCAACATGGCTTTTTTCTAATAAAAAAAAATAAATAAATAACAAAACAAAGCAAAAAAGGCATGTTGAACACAGTTGATATTTTTCTTTCAGGTTTTTACCTTGTATCCTGCCTCCTGCCCATAGATCTGAGGTAGCTTCAAACATTACTGTGTTTTTTTAAAGTATGGTAGAAACGGTATCCCCAACTCTCCCCCCTGCCCACCACTAGACATCCCTCATCCATCTGAGCCCTGTTTCTGGTATAAAGCAGCTTCCCAATCCTCCTCAACACTCCAGCAATCATCTAACTTTCTCTCAGACTGGGATTAGTCTTGACACCTATTTTCCATGCTTGGATTACTGGTAATTGAACTGAGCAAGAAAAATCTTCAAACTTCAGAGCTGGCTCTGAGGCTCAACATTTTGCTAATGCCACCCCTAAATGTGTTCCCTGGTGAACCGCAACCTTTCTCTGGTAACCCCTTTGTTTTTAGACTGTTGGGCTTACAGACTACTCATGCCCCTCCCCCCAGTGCTTTGGATATCCTGCTTGTGTAAGCATTCTGCATTTTTTTCATACCTCTGTACCTCAGTACAAAGGTTACGGAGATCCATGTTTTATTCGACTTTACCTCACCTTCTGTTACACCCAGTGCTACATAACTGGCATTGCTCACCTACTTTATTCTCACGCAACCCACTATTTCTACATTTACCTCTCAAATGCTTTTGGCCTATAGTTTCCATCAGCATCACACTCAGAAATTCCAGTCTTTGGGGCTACAACACTAAGGCATATTTTATCCCTAAATTTCTCCCACAGACACACAACCGGTAAAGAATAAAGGAAACAGTCTCTGACCTCCTTCTGCGTGCCAATCACATAAAATGTCTTCCCTTCAAACTTCAATTTGCAGACATCTGGCCTACAAAGAGAAAAGCTCTGGGTCAGAAGGAAAAACAAAAGTGACAGCTAACCAAGGTACCTGGCTTTCCCTTAGGAACCTGCTGTCTCACAAACGCCCAACTTCGGGGTCCTAGCAGTTGCATCAACACAATACAAGCAGAATTATTTGCTCTCTGAATGCATATCTTCTCACCAAAGAGGCATCTAGGACCTGTGTACCCAAAAGGTTATAATGGAACAGCTCCTTAAGATAAAAGCTAAAGTCATGTTTTCAACCACAGTTTGTCATTCATCAAGTTGTTCTTACAATTTTGAGCATTTCAATGTGTAATAAAACAATGCTTTGTAAATCAGGAGAGCAAGGGTGAAAAATTTGTGATGTGGCATATGTGGTTCTTGGAGGCAAATGTGGCAGGATAAGAAGGTCAGGTACCTTGAATCCAAATTATTTCATTAACGGAATCTGAGGTCATCATGTTCCTCTGGCCTTGAAAGGCAAGCAAGCCAACCCCCATTTTGGTTGTTAATGTTTACTAACACTCAAGCTCCTTGGAGGAAAGATGTAGCCTAACTATAAAAAAACTATGGGAGAAATAATTCTCAATTGTCAACAAATCCTTTTTTGGGAGAAAAACTGGTGTACAATTCTCTTGGGACACTCCGCTGCTTTCATCAATGAAAAGGGACTATCTAGTTTCCACTCTTCTCCATACCCAGTTGAAAAATAGCATCAAGGGAAGGAAAATACCTGAAACTAATCTGCATTTGCGATGCACCCGTTTCCAACATAACTAACTCTGGGTTCAAGCAATTCAGAAACCTGAGGATCTAACGTTCTTCTAGTCCCCTGAGACCTTTGCAGCACTAGAGTAGGATGGGGGCAGCATGCAATCGCCCATGTTCTCTCAAGTCCATAGGAATCCTGAAGGAAGCCGTTCTGAAATGGACCGAAGGTGATTAACAGTGGAGCATCTCCACAAGGCACTAACAATACAGAAAAGAAAGCCAGATAATGACCCCTCCCCCATTACACTTCATACATCACAAGTTCTAACAGGTCTGCAGGCACTCTCACACCCATTATTTCATTTGTTTTTCTGTCTCCTCTCCTTCCAAGGCAGCCCAGAGACAGCCAATCTCTATTCTGTGGTTGGGTACACTAAGAGTCAAAGAATTTAAGTGACATCTTAAAGTTTTGAGAATGCTAACTGTCGAAGAAAAAAGCAACTGGCACAGAGAGATATTTAAAATATGAACTGAGAAAAAGATGCCAGAGAAGGCAAAGAAGATGCTTAGAGGCATTGGGAGTCTTAAGAGAGGGGTGCTGCCATTTAAAAACAAAGGGCCAGCCAAACAGCTGAGTGGATTAAAGCACCTGCTTAGGCAGACGCAGGGGCCTGGAGTTTGATCCCCCTGGACTGCCGTGCTGGTCCTGCCCCTGGGCGTGCTGAAACAGTAATTGAGACTGGGAGTGGTGGCGCACACCTGTAATTTCAGCACTTAGGAGGCTGTAAACAGGAGGATCACTACGAATCCAATATATGCAGTGAGACCTGTAGACCCTGTAGACCCTGTCCTAAAACACAAAAATAAAATAAAATAAAAGAATAAAAATAGAGCAAGAGGTACATGGAAGGGAGTGCGCATAGCTAACCGATGTTAATCCAGTAGAGGTGTCACCAAAGAAAAGCAGGTGTGAAAGAGAGTGCTGAGGAAGGAAGGGGTTTAATATCTCCATGGAAGAGAGCCTGAAGCTAAGAGAAGCATGACATTGAGGCTCCAGTGGCTACAAGAGACTATCTCCAGTCCAGGGATTAAAGGTGCCCACTGCCCATCAAGAATGTCACAGCCAAGGCCTCAGTGCTTGAGTACTCAGGGCAAGCCCACAGGACCGTGAGTCCCAGGGTGACAAGCCTTGTAGGGGCCATAAGAAAGGGAACTGAGACAAGCTGCAAGTGAACGAAATGAAGTCTTTACAATATTCCAGTGTGCACGGAACAGCCACCGTTCCTCCCTGCATAGCAAAACCATCCACTATGAAAACCCTGGACTGGAAGTACCCGCCCTCCAACTTCCTCACTGGCATGACCTGGACTTCATCATCCCTCACATGTGCTCATTACGCTTTCCCAAGCCAAGGGCAAGGTCTGACTCACCAAACACATGCAGACTTTCCATTCTTCTTAGCAAGGCCTGGTTTTTTAGTAAGCACATGTGACCCAATCCTGCCTAACTAGAACTATGGGAAGTCTACGCAGACTCTGAAAAAGGTACCCTTCTTTTAAAAAGAGACACATGGAAGGGGCTTCTCTCCTCCACAATCTGACACTTGTGTGAAAGAAGTCAGAATGATACTGACATCCATCTCATGAGCATGAATCTGGGAACAAGTCACCAACCTGAACACAGACAAAAAAGTGGAAACCTGGACCTTTCCTGACTTGTTGGGCAGTTCAGTTCATGGATAAGATAGCCACTTGTGGACTTGGGCTTTGTGCACCAGTCCTCTTACTTGTAAGACTTTCTTGGTAGATAAGCTTGCTACCTTTTGCCAAAAGCAACTGCACTGATACTCTAAGGAAAAAGTGCTTTTCCACTGAAGAATTAGTAGAGGGAAGTGAGTGGAAGACAGTAGATCTGGAATTGCTCCAAAACACTACCATGGTTTGGCCCCCAAATTTCCATGTGCTGGGATCTTGGCACTAAAAGGTGGTGGGGCCTTCAAGGGATGAGACCTAGTGGGAAGTGATCTAGCAGTCACGGGACCCTGCCCTGTACTGTGCTCCTGTGCTGAAGATTTGGCCACGTCAGCAGAATCTTCGGGTGAGTAAACACTGAACCCAGAGGCCCCCAGCCCAGGTCTTGGGAAGTGACTCCTCAGCGTGACAAACCCAATTCTCCTGTGAAGGGCAACCTAGATTGGATTCAACTCATAGGCGATACATGCCTTTATCCTAAAAGCTCCAAGGTAAAAAGAAATGGATAGCAGACAATCTATTCAGCACTGCACACACACACACACACACACACACACACACACACACACACACACACACAGGTTAAAGAGGAGTAGGGTAATAGGTTATTAAGAAATACAGTAAGCCAGTTTTTCCAAAGAACTCACCATTTTATCAAGTGCATTCTCTTATTTCCTTGGAATACCACAAAGCCTGCAGCAGTGAATCCTAAAAATGTTGTCGTTCCTGTTGAATCCTGAAAAAGGGAAATAAAAACCCTTTTGGATTAAGTGCAAAAAAAAGTATGTGATACACAGCACCCTTGCTCATCTTCGTCCAGGGTCAGTTTCTGGTCAAGTCCAGTGACTGTAACAATGGAGGCTCCTGGGATAGAACCTTGAAATGCTGGGCTTTCGAAATCTGGACAAGCCCCCAAATTATGTGGCTTTCACCTTTCAAGAATAATGGATCTTCTGTCCCACCAAGAACCTTCTGGAAAAAGCTTATGCCCGATATGATGTCTACTTTCAAACATCTTTGAGGCTCTCTGTGTCATGTAAACTCTCCTTGGTTGCTATTAGTTCTTGAACACAATGAAACCAACGCTATTGGTATTTTCTATAACAGGATTCAGCCCACACAGGATTTCTAGTAATTTCAGTATTTAAATATGCCCAGAGAAGCCTACTTTGCTTCTAGCCTAAACAAAGAATACTAAGCAATTTATGGATCAATTAAGTGAAGGCCAAGAAATAATAGCAAAAATAAAAATCAAGTCAGTCTTCAAGTAATAAACAAGAACAATGAGGTTTAAATGGCTGGATAAAATTAAAATCACTAAGTGGAATAAAAAGATGTATACCATTAATGGAAAGAGCATCTGGAAAATATTTTCTAATAATCATGAAGGCCAAACAAGAAGACGAAGGAGGGCCACCTACGTGGAAAAGTATAAAAACGAGGTATAAAAAGTAAAGCCATATTAATATGCTGAACTGAAAAAGGCTCATGTCAACAACTTCTGAAATTACCAGTCCTATGGATAACTTACTACTATTATGGACTACTGGACTATATTGGATTATTTTGCTGAATTCATGCACCTACAATATTTAAACAGCAATGGGATATCCATCTCTGACAAAACTAAACAAAAAAGGGGATACAAATGAAGGACCATTTTGTATCTGTATATTCAAAATAGTTACAATAGATATACAGCTAATTTCTCTTAATTCAATGAGAAGAAAGATTTGTACTAATAGTGTTTGGACAGGATATCATGTCTGCATCTTATACTATGAATAACCACTAAGACAACAATATGCAATGTATTAATCATTGAAACTGTCCTACTAATAAGTTTTGAAGCTATCTCATTACTATTTGTTTCTCAATAAAATTAATTTAAAAAAGAATTAGTGCTAGTGTCTGGTTGAGGCACAGTTACAATATGCAAAGGAAAATAATGCTTGAGTGAGTCATTTCTGAAAAATGTATACACATAACATCATCACTTTAGGAGCTTGACAACGAGAAGGATTTCCCAAATGGACCCCAGAATTCTGTCTTCTGATAAGGAAGGTCTGTTTCACCCTTGAGAAAAATACTATCGAATTATGTGAATAAAAGAACTCCTAATGCCATAATGTAATTTACATTTGCCTTTTCTTCTTCTATTTCCCATCTTTAAAGAATGTATTCTGGACAACAGTGGCCTTGAAAATACATTTGAATTCTCTAAGTTTCCAAAGGAAAACTGTTTTCTACTTGATGCGTAAGTTCATGGTTACTGACTTAGGGAACTACGAGGACTACATTGAAGGGTATGAGCAAGTGACAGGCTGTAAGAGAAAATCTCCTCCAAACTCGCGTAGCTGGGCCCACAGCTGTCCCTTCCCATCAGCCGCTGTGTGCGAGGCTGTGGAACTCTCCTGAGAGAGTTCTTCAGGGATACGCACCAGTTCTCTGTACATGAGGCGGAACAACTCTGACTGCTGAGGGACAGTTACCTTGCATGGGTGAGGATCCACCCCGTAGGTGTCCAGAGTGTGAGCTTTCAGGAGTAAGTTAAACTCAGCAACCGGTGGGCTCTGGCCCCTAAAAGCACACACAAAGTTTAGGGAGTTAAAACGAACAACAGAAACATGGAGTCACTTCAATAAAATGTGCAATAGTGCATTACATATGGGGGAAATCCATATGGAAACAATAACCAGTAAAGCCAACCATTATTTTTCACTATAAGCAAACTGCTAAGAAATCTGAGCTCATGCTCTTAGCTGCTCCACAACACACCCACGTGCAACTCAGGACTCCAGAACAGCTAATCAAGGCTATCAAGTTACCAATAGGCAGGCCCTCGCAAATTCAATCTTAATACAAAACAAAGTTCAGCATCTGTTCTTTCCTGTTCATCCAGGGATTATCCAGGATAAATAATATTTGTTCTTGCCCAGCATAGACACCAAGCAGCTCTGTTACCCCACCAACAAGCCTAAACAGAGCTCTGTGGGGAGCAAATAACCATCAGACATTCCATGGGAAGCCCTGGATTCCTTTATTTTCTTTCTTGCTTCTTTCTTTCTTTCTTTCTTTCTTTCTTTCTTTCTTTCTTTCTTTCTTTCTTTTCTCCTTCCTTCCTTCCTTCCTTTCTTTCTCCATAATTTTATTGAGAGACAAATAGCAATGAGACAGTTTCAAATCAAATTTGTAGGACAGTTTCAATAATTAACACACTGCATACTCTCTTCCTAGTGGTTATTTGCTGTACAAGATGCAGACATGGTATCTTATTTACAAACACTATTAGAACAAATCCCTCTATTCATTAAGAGAATGTAACTATATATCTATCTTAACCATTTTGAATATACAGATACAAAATGGACATTCTTCTATATCCTCTTTTTTGTTTAGTTCCATCATTTGAATATTTCTTTCTTTTCTTTTCTTTCCTTTCTTTCTTTCTTCCCTCCTTCCTTCTTTCTTTCTTTTTGTATTTTTACTAGGATTTTATTGACTTTGTAGATTCATTTGCATAATATAAAGGTAATAAATGATTCCTGCCATAACCTCTGACTGAGTTCACCTATTTGACCTGTGTAGAAGAAAATTGTTTTACTTTGTTTTGTTTTGTGTTTTTAAAAAATCTTTTATTTATTTATGTATTTATTTAAGGGCTGGCCAGATAGTTCAGCAGACTACAGTGCCTGCTCAGGCAGAGTGCTGTGGCCTGGGTTTGATACCCACAGTGCTGTGCTAGCCCCACCCCCAAGGTGTGCTGAGATGGCAATTGAGACTGGGCATGGTGACATGTGCCTGTAATCTCAGCACTTGAGAGGCTGAAAACAAGAGAATCACTACGAGACCCATTTACGTAGTGAGACCCTGTAGACCCTGTACCAAATACATAAAATTTTTTTTAAAAAGGGAGGTACTGGTGACCTTTAATGAAGTATTTATTTATTTATTTATCTAGTACAGGGTCTTGCTATGCAACTTGGACTCTAGTGATCCTCCTGTCTTGGTCTCCCCAGCACTGGGATTACAGGCATGCAGTGCCAGGAATTGAATCTCAGTCCTCTCCCTTACCAGGCAAGCGCTTAGACCCTCAAGTTATCTCTCCGGCCCCAAAAACGTTTTGTAGAATGACAGTTGCAATGGTTGTTCTAGGTATTTTTTTTTCTTTTTCTTTTTTCTTTTTTTTTATAGCAGTGTAACTTGTCATAGCTAAATCTTGGAAACAACCCAAGTGCCCATCAGCTGAAGAATGGACAAAAAAGATGTGGTATTTTTACACAATAGACTATTATTTTGCTATACAAAAAGATAAACTTGAGACTTTTATAAGTACATAGATGTGACTAGAGACCATCCCCATAAGTGAAACAAATCAGACTCACATGTGTAAATATCTGTGTTTACACATAAGTGTTCACACATAAGTGTTTACAACTTACATGTGTAAACATCATATTGTGTCTCTAGTGTGAGAAACTAAAAGAGTAAAAAATTCAAAGGGTACAATAAGATATATAGTGAGAGGAAAAGAAACTGCTCAAAAGGAAAGAAGTGGTGGAGAGAAAAGAGAAAAGAAAGAAGGGAAATACACACACACACACACACACACACACACACGATAGCTAAGATAACTGTACTACTAATTTCTATTGGTTTATTGAAAGGAACAGTTAATGCGTAATTGTTTGATCAATTTTGCACACTATATCTGGAAGTCTCAACAAATACTTAGAAGATAACAATGCGCAATTTAACAACAAATGTTAACCTTTTATTATCCTGCATTCTGTAAGGAAATCTCAACCACACTCCTAATGCTGACCTCTAGGAACTTTACACATTATGGAGAATCCAAACCATTCTCCACAGAGAATTATATAACTTCAACAACCAGGAAAACTTTGCTATGGAAAGCAACGGGAATTCCTTTTTTTTTTTTTTTTTTAAATGTAATTTATATTGCAGTATTAAATCTGTCCCCGGGACAGTCAAATAGCTCAGCAGATTAAAGTGCCTACAAGCAGGCACAGGGGCCGGCGGTTCAATCCCCAGGCCTGCCTTGCCAGCCCCGCCCCCAGAGCAAGCTGAGATGGCAGTTGAGACTGGATATGGTGGCATGCACCTGTAATCCCAGCTCTTGGGAGGCTGTAAACAGGCAGATCATTATTAGTTCGATCTAGCAGTGAGACCCTGAACACCTATAGACCCTTCCCTAAAATACAACAAAAAAAAATCTGTCCACACTCGTACTGCACAGATGCACTTTCCCCCAACTCCTCGAGTCACCCAGAGTCATCAGACCTCTAAACCAAGACAGAATCTCATCTACTTCCTCCCGAAAGCATTTCAAGATCTTCCCTTTTCTCTTAATGAACTGAAATGTTGCTCCAGTGAGTCCAGGGGCATCCTTATACTCTCTTTTGATACAACATTCTAAGTTGCTTCCTAATTCAAGCCTCCAGCCTGCTAATTCATTCTTTGCCTGTGTGCATTCTGTTTTTCATCTCGTTGATAGACATCAATGAGATATCAATTAAGCATTTCATTTCCTATGTAATAGTTTTAGAGTCTTGAAACAGTAGCATGCTCTTGTTTCATGAGCATGATTCCTCCTCTATTTTGCTTCCTGGAAAGTCCAGCCTTGCTGGCTCTGTGAGTGCTGCTCTCCTGGTGAAGGTCTTTGGAGGGCTGAGTCCCAGTGTCTCGCTCACTGGGTCCGTGCTTCCTGCAGGGTCTGCTAAGTCTGGAGTCAGTGCACATCTGCAAAAACCCGTTCAACAGAGTGGGGTCCAGAGGTTGTAGCTGTGAGGGTGAGATGTGCCATGTAACTTGATTTGGGGTAAAGTTTCTAGTTCCTTCTGGAAACTTCCTTGTTCACACTTGGGGAACCCCAGCTCAGGCCTGCTGCTACCCGTGAGCCAGAGGTGGCAGGAAAGCTGCCCGAGGGTGCCACATGCAAGTGCCGTTCTCTGATGGCGGATCCGTGTATCCCCAGCCCAGAGCCCCCAGAAGCACTGCTTGCTTGTGCCTACGGCTGGCTTGCGTCCTCTCTGCATCCTTTCTTGCAGAGATGTCTTCAACCTTGTGACTGAAGACGGGATTCTTTCTCATATGCTCTGTCAAGTGTCTCTTCCATTAGACACAAGGCAAGGATGGTGACCTTACACGGTATTCATGAGAAATAAACTCTTAACGTCTGCTTTAGGAAAATAAAGATTCTGCAGCTTTTCCAGATTTCTTCAGCTTAGATGTCATAAATTTCACTCAAATCCCACATATATGTGGGAAATTTTTATCTTGATCATTACTGTATAAGCTCTTTCAATCCAACAAATCCTACCTTTGGCCCTTCCTTTGATTTTTTTTTTTTTCAGATAAGATCTTGCTCTGTAATTCAGGGTGGCTATGAACTCACTGTAGCCCAGGTTGGCCTTAAACTCATGGCGATCCTCCTGCCTCAGCCTCCCAAGTGCTGAGATTACACGCATGTACCATACCTGGTGTCTTAGTTACTCTTCTCTCGTTGCTGGGACAAATACCTGACACTCAAAATGAAGTAAGGAAAGGTTTGTTTAGCTCACAGATACTGGAGGTTTCAGTCCATACTCAGCTGGCTCCAAGACAGAGCAGCACATACCAGAAAGCAACCTTTCATGGTGGTGGCAAAGAGCTAGAGCTAAGGGAGTAGCAGCAGCTCAAGCAGCTGGCTTCTCTTCCCTCCTTACATTGTAATGCAAATTACCTGCCCCAGGGCAAGCGCAGCATCCACACCCACAGTAATCAATCACAAACTCCAGAAGCAGCCCCAAGACTGCCTGAGGCTTTGGGGGGACACCTAGACACAAACCATAACATCTGGCAGCTAAATATTTTCTTTTTGGGACACAGACAGCATAATTACTTTTCTCTTGATAAAATATAAATAAACTCAGAAAGTGATCAACTATATTGACATAGCTGGGAAAAGGTGATTTTTAAAAGGTGTCTCAAAGTATCTGGGAATCTTTCCATTCCTCTCTCAGAGTCCTTCCAGTATTTTAACTTTCATTACAAAATAAATGTATTTATTGAATTCAAATACAGAGCTCCTCTTCCCTTTCTCTTCTACCCTTCTTCCTCATAAACAAAGGAATCAAGCCAAGAGAGAAAAGGCAGAGACCTAGACAGAACTGGAGATTCCTAGGTCCCTGATTTACTGAACAAGAAACCATTTAATGACCAGGAGAAATTAAATAGATTTTTTTTCTTCAAATCTCCCCTTGGACATTGGTTTCTAGAAAAAAAAAAAAAAAAAAAAAAAAAAACCTTATTTGATAATGGAAAATAAAGATTTTTTTCCCCTTCAAATGTTGCTCCAGGGAATGCTCACTGAGATAATGAAACCTTTACAAGTAAAGGCCATGATTAGCTGAATTATTTTTTAAGAGCTCCCATAGATGAGGACAAGCAATTCTGTATTTAGCTGTGCATCTCCATCTTCCCAGTTGTGAAGACTTTAACCAAAGAGGAACAATCTTACTGATGCCCCACTAGCACACTACATATCACATGGAGCATAAAACATGCAGCAGCCCAAT